CCCCAGCTATCTTCACTGCCGCATTTCCTCAGTCTCCCATCCCCTCTCTCCCTCAGCAAGCTATATTATAAAGTTTGTCTCAGACGGCATTACACGCCTAACACGGCGCGCACGCATGCGCAATATCTCCCGAGAGCAATCGTATTTTGCAAAGATTATGCATTTAAAATAAAGAGGAGTTATCCTAGCATAGATTTATATAATAACATTCTATCAGTAGACATCATTTAAGGAATAGGGGGAAGACCTTGCATGTAAGCTCCCGGCTGGGTATACTAGCCAGTACACAATCTGGCTAAGTTAGTGTGTTAGCGCATGCGCAATATCTCACCAGAGGAGTTATATTTTGTGATGAATATACATTTAAAATGGTTATGGGATATCTCAGCATAGATTTCCCTAATAAACTTTTATCAGTTGACATGTGTTTATAATTAGGAGAGCGCCTTAGCATGTAGGGTACAAAACACCTACTTTATGCCCTTGCGTCCTTCCCCTTGCCTCCCTTGTTCCTCGCTTAGCCTCCTTCTTCTTCTACCGCCCCCAGCTATCTTCCTTGCCGAATTTCCTCAGTCTCCCATTCTCTCTCCCTTTCAGCAAGCTATATTATGACTTGGTAATATAATTGGTATTATTAGTAGTGTGACTTGTAGTGAAGGGAGAGGGTTACATCTGCCAGTCAACGTTCGTTGGTGGCAGGAGGTGGATGCGGGAGGGAGAAATTCACGCATAATTTATACTTATTTTAGTATTATTCACATTCATCGGCTTCTTTATAAAAATCTTGGCAGCTGCCCTCCTTGCCCCGTACGCTACGGCCCTCATTGCACACACAGATTGTTTTAACCACAGATATATATCTAGTAGTTATTCAAGCTATTGATAATTAAGTTAGCAGGATCAAGAGAATAAATGGTATCTTAAATAGGCCTGTTTTATAATCCCTTATTATATTACTCCTGATGCTAGACCTATATATAGATATGTGATGTAAAATTATTTTGAAATTTACTTCAAACGCAAGAGTGAACATTTTGTTAGACGATGGTCCTTCGCTTGCTACCTTAAGAATGCATACATTTGGTATTTTTCTCATGTTTTCAGACGTGGATGTTGCATATTAGAAATGAAATTAAAAGAATTCATAGCCAGTATGCCGTGGATGATATGACGACGTAAGCATCTTATATTGATAAGGCGCGGCGAAACAGTCACTCTGTGAAATTACTTCAATTTCCTTTCATGATTGTGACATTATTACGTGCAGATCGTATAAAAAGTTTCTACCGAGGCAATTCCATTGTATAGTTGCTATTAACGATAAATAAAAAATATCCCATTATAGTCTCTAATGACTTCGTTCAATAAAAGATAGCGCAGTGTTAACTATATTTTATTTATTCTACGATCTCCTACAGGACGGTAGGGTCTACGGAAGCATCCACAGTCTCTCGCAGTACTCAGTCGGTTGTAAACTCGGTAGCTCTCCCGTTGCCGCTACGATCTGTGGCTCACAGATCCACCGATACTGAGCAACAGAACATAGAGTTCGATGAGCTGGAGGAGTCAGTCTACGACACACTCGACGATGCGTATCTAAGACCGCTAGAGTTGATCTGGAGAGACAGGAGGGACGATTCACGCGGTGAGAGAAACTTGCCTGCCGCGCCTCTCTCTCTCTCTCTCTCTCTCTCTCTCTCTCTCGGCTTCTCACTCGCGCCCTGCGTCCATCTCTCGATCTCGCTCTCTCTCACCCTCGTTCGTTTTCCCTATTTCTTACCCTTTCTCTTTTTATTCGCTTTCTCTCTCTCTCTCTCTTTCGATCTCTCTCTTGCTCTGTCTCCATTGTACTCGCCATCTCTCTGAGTGTCCTTCCTCTTTCTTTCTTTCTCTTTCTCCCCCCCCTCTTCTCGCTGTGTTTGTCCCTCTCTTGTGGCGGAGCATCGATGAACCCTTACCTTACCTTACCACACGCGTGCCCATCAAGAGTCTCCTTACACGTGACACACAATATTCTGCATTGTTACAGAAGACAGCGATGACGACAGCATAGGTTATGACGTACTATCGATGACGACACAGCCGAATCAAAGTGAGTGCTTCAAATCTTTATAAATTGACCATACTCGTATAGCGGTATAGTAGTAGTAGTAGTAGTAGTATCGTATGGCGCCAACATCGCGCCACCACAGTCCCACGGGCTATCCAGTCGCAAAAGAGTACACATTCGTTTATGGTGACATATCCAATGACGGTGATTGTTATGACGTTGAAATGAAAGCAAGTTTCTAAGGTATGATGGTGTGTCTGGTGTCTGATTTGCGTCTGCGTGTAGTATAAAATGTTTATAGTTTTTCGACATTGAAATTTATACTAGCCGATAACGGCACCTGTTGTTTCATCTGCGTCTGTAACACCATAACGTCATGCGTAATGTAGATCTGATACAAACATCTACATCTACGTCTGTTATACATCTGATAATGTACATCTGATACAAACATCTACATCTACGTCTGTTATACATCTGATAATGTACATCTGATACAAACATCTACATCTACGTCTGTTATACATCTGATAATGTACATCTGATACAAACGCAGGCGGGCTGCGACCAGCGTTACCGCCCCGGAGATCTCCTTCTCCTTCTTCTGCCTCTGAAGACATCGCTAAAGGGTATCCTACTACATCTAGGCCGCCTTGGATGATGAGACCACGAGCTGATACCAACCCATTTCAGGATGAGAACCTAGGTACACATCTATGTGTCAATCATGCACTAAGAACCCAGGCTAGTGCACGTATCATTGCTTGACTTGTGTAAATAGAAGGTCCTTGCTTTGCTCAGTCAGTCGAAAATTTAGACAAAATTTCTTGTTCATTCAGACGCTGGTGTAAAATGATAACTTACGATAAATCCGTGTAAATAACCCATTAGCCTCTAGTTTATATCATCATTAATTTATCATAAAATAAAATAACTTTTAATATTACTATGAAATCCGATGAACTGATTACACAATAAAAAAAACTGCTTGCAGAAGGACTCTACCTCACCGTCGTGAATTCAGAAGAGGGCGCCACGTCCGCTACTTCCGGTGTCCACGTGACCGACCCTGCCGACACCGCATGGCTTCCTGACAAGCAGGAGGCTCTCCCCGGAGCGTTCCATCCCATTCCTCGCCCACGCAGCGGGGCATCGTGTCTGTCTCGCAAACCACCACCGATACCCACGCGCGAGGAGCCGCGTGCGACGGTACGCACGAAACGTCTGCCGTCTGAGTTGGAGGAAGACAGCGACATTGCTTCCCGTCTGAGCATGGCGCTGATGAGTCGCCAGAAGCAACACAGGTAGGGGTCTATCGTCGATATAATATATAACGTTAGCGTAAATTCAGGGTTAGCTGATGGGAACTGTGGGAGGCAGGCGTTTTAGTAAGGCGGGTAAGCACATGGATTGTGCACTTGTGGTTAGAAATGATAGGAATTAGCAAATAGGAATAGCATTATTAGGGTGAACTGAGCGCATTTCTAGGGGTAGCAGCATTTCGCGCCTTATAGCTGAGTAATGACAAGGGAGGGCTAAGCTCCCATTCAACACGCAGCGTATGTGGCTGTGATAGGAGTGTTTCACTGTTGCTTACATCATGATTTACACGTATTTTAGGATTATGTGAATGTATTAAACTTTTATTTTTCTCTCAAAAATCCATGACGACAGTTAAGTTTTATCATATTTGCCACATGCTCAGCTGGATGCGACCATTGAATTCACTAAATCCTTTGGTACTCGTGTCGCAAGTAGCTAGTCGTTTTAGTAAAGTGCTCAGGGAATATCGCCCGACGTTTAAGAATATCTGGGAGTTCGTTGCAGGCAATCTTAATAGCTGGGAAATATTCTCGGAAAACATCGGGACTAATCGTAATACATAGCAGGAAAAAAACGTGTCAAGGATCGCAGCTCGCTATTGTGCGTGCGGCAATGGCAACCAGAGAAATAACATACTAGTTAGCGTCTCCATCACGTTTATGTGAGTCCGGCCCATTTCTCGATGCTATACACGAAGGTCGCGGTGTATATCCTTGCATCAGCGTCGTTTCAACTTGATTACTTTATCCGCAGAGCGAGACCAGAAGGAATGAGCACTATCGAAACATCCTCAGAGGACTCCCCTGTCACGGACGACTTACCTATCTCTAAAGATTCACTTGTCTCAGAGGATTCACCTGTCTCAGAGACTCAGAAACAACAGGTATATAACAACCGGCGCGCAAGCTAAACAGCTATCTATCTATCTATCTATCTATCTATCTATTTATCTGTCTATCTATTTATCTATCTATCTATCTGTCTATCTATCTATCTATCTATCTATTTATCTATTTATCTATCTATCTATCTAATGATATCTATCTATCTATCCATGCTATCTTATCTATCTATCTCTCTTATTATCTATTTATCTATCTATCTATGTATCTATCTATCTATCTAATCTATTCTATCTATGCTATCTATCTATGCTATTTATTTATGCTATCTATCTATCTATCTCCTCCTATATAATCTCTCTATCTATCTATGCTATCTATTCTATCTATCTATCTCTCTATTATCTAATCTATCTTCTATCTCTTATCTATGCTATCATCTATCTATCTATCTATCTATCTATCTATCTATTTACTATCTATCTATTTATCTAATCTATCTATCTATCTATCTATCTATCTATCCTATCTATCTATCTATACTATCTACTCTATTTCTATCTATCTATCTATAATCTATACTATTCTATTATCTTATCTATCGTCTAGTATCTATCTATCGTCTATTTTTATTAAATCTATCTATCTATCTCTTCTATCTATCATCTAATCTATCTATCTATCTATCTATATTTATCTATCTATCTATCTATCTATCTAATGCTATCTATCTATTATATCTATCTATCTATCTATCTAATACTTATTGCTATCAGACTATCTATCTATCATCTATACTAGGCTACTCCTATCTATCTATCTATCTATTTATCTATCTACTCGATTTATCTATCATATTACTATCTATTTTTATCTATCTATCCTCATCCATCCATCCATCACATCTATCTATAGTCTATCTATCTATCATAATCTTATCTCATCCTCATCCATCCTCATCCTTATCTATCTATCTATCTATCTATCTACTATCGCTATCCAATCCATCCATCCATCCATTCCATCATCCATCCATCCATCCATCCTCCATCCATACTCCAATCCACTGCCATCACCATCCATCCATCCATCATCCATCCATCCATCATGCCATCCATCCATCCATCCATTACCATCCATCCATCCATCGCTCCATCAATCCATCCATCCATCCATTCATCCATCATCACCATCCATCCATCCATCGCAGTCCATCCATGCCATCCATCCACCATCCATCCATGCGCATCCATCCATCCATCCATCCACCATCCATACCATCCATCCAATCCATCCATCCATCATCCAGTCATCCATCCATCCATCCATCCATCCATCCCAATCCATCCATCCATCATGCCATCCATCCATCCATCCATCCATCCATCCATGCCCATCATCCATCACATGCCATCCAATCCATCCATCACCATCCATCCATCATCCATCCACTCCAGCCATCCATCCATCCATCCACCATCCATCCATCCATCATCCATCCATGCCATCATTCCATCCATCCATCCACTCCAATCCATCCTGCCATCATCCATCAGCCATCCATCATCGCATCCATCCATCCATCCACATTTTCCATCCATACATCCATCTCATCATCCATCCATGCCATCCATCATCCATCCTCCATTCCATCATCCATCCATCTCTCCATCATCCATCCATGACATCCATTCCACCATCCATCCATCCATCGCACCATCCACCATTCCATCCAGTCCATACATCCATCATCGGATCATCCATCCATCCATCCATCCATCCATCCATCCCATCCTCCATCAATCCATCCTCATCCATCCCATCCATTATCCATCACTATTCCATCCCATCCATCACCATGCCATCCAATCCAGTCCATCCATCCATCATCCATCCATCCATCCATCATCATAATCCATCCTGCCATCCATATCGTACAATCCACCATCCATCCTCATCCATCCATCCATCCATCATCCATCCATCCCATCCATCCATCCATCCATGCATCCATCCAATACGCATCTCATCCATCCATCCATCCATCCATCCATCCATCCATCCATCCATTCCATCCATCCATCCATCCATGCCATCCATCCATCACATCATCCACCATGCAGCGATCCATGCCATCACATCGCATCCATCCATCCATCCATCCCATCCATTCCATCCCATGCCATCCATCCACCATCCATACCATCCATCCATGCCATCCATCCATCCATCGCATCTGCAATCCATCCATCCATCCATCCATCCATCCATCCTCCATCCATCCAGTCCATCAATCCATCCATCCATCCATCCACCACCATCCATCATCCATCCATGCCATCCATCCATCCATGCCCTCCATCCCATCCATCCATCCATCCACCATCCATCCATCCATCCATCCTCCATCGCATCCATCCATCCATCACCATCCATCATCCATCTATCATCCTTATCTATCTATATTTACTTTTTATTTATTTATTTATTATCTTATCTATGCTATTTTCTCTCTCCTCGTCTCATCGCTCTCTCTCTTCCTCTCTATATTATATATATATAGTATTATATTATAATATATTAACATGTATGTGTGTATTGGGCAGTGTGACGACGACGATAACACATACGAGACTGCGACGTATACGATGCAAGACGATACGTACGAGTTCTACGATGCAGCGTACTTTCCTACCGATGATAAGGAGGATTCCACGCGCACCATGCAGGCTATCCGGCAGAATGGAGCCTTCATGGTTGCGGAGCACCCGCGCGAGGCACATCGCCAGTCGTCCACGCTGCACACAACATGACATAACACAAACCCGCAATACAATACTGAATACAATACAATGGACAATACAATACAATACAATGCAATGCAATGCAATGCAATGCAATGCAATGCAATGCAATGCAATGCAATGCAATGCAATGCATTGCAATGCAATGCAATGCAATACAATACAGTACAATACAATAAATACAATACAATAGCTCTAGTGCTATAGTCCTTGTTGTCACAAGCAGCGGTGGTGCGGCCGGGTTGGTACGGTTGGAACGGTTGGTCCGCGCATGCACCCCGCATTCAACGCACAGCCAGCGAACGGCAGCGGTTATGCATGCTGTGACAGTGAGCTTGACGGTCTCGGGCTGCTGATGCATCGTGCTCAAGAAAACTTGGAAACGGTTGGCCAGGATGCCAAAAGCATTTTCTACGACCCTTCTGGCTCGGGAAAGCCGGTAGTTCAAGATGCGCTCCTGCCGCGTCATACCCCGGAGGCTGTACGGCTTCATCATGTTGGGTCGTAGGGCGAAGGCATCGTCGCCGACGAAGAAGTAGGGCACATCCTGGTTTTCGTTGGGAAGAGGATCGTGATCAGAGAAGCCTAGACTACCATCCTCAACGCATTTATTTAGCTCAGAGGCATTGTAGATCTGAGCGTCTGATGCTGATCCCATACCGCCGATGCCTGCCCAGATAAACTTGTAATCAGCATTCACGAGCGCCATGCGGACAACGGAGTAAAATCCTTTGTAGTTGTAGTATAGGGAACCACTGTTTGGAGGACACTTGCAGTTGACGTGCTTGTCATCAAGTGCACCACATGTATGAGAGAAGTTCCACCTCTCCATGAACTTGTCAGATATGGCACGCTATTCCTCAGGAGTGGTGGGACACTTCATCACCTCATCCTTGTACTCATCGATGATGGCTTGACACACTTCTGGGATGAGCCGGGATATGGTGTTGTGAGGCGCCTTCCACCCATAGGACATTGAGTGATACTTGGTCCCAGAGGCAAGATGCCGCAGAGTGAGGGCAAGCTTCAGGTCATGGTCGAGGGCCTCGCTGTAGGTTGTATTCTGCTTGGTGATCCTCGGACCCACTCTGGTTAGCAGCTCGTCGAACATCTCGGGGAGCATCCGCATAAAGTTCTTGAAGGCTGCCTGGTCTTCGTTACAAAGTTCAACAAGTAGCTGGTCATACAGGCCAAACTGTCGTCGCCTACCGATCCACGGTCGGACCCAGAACCTCCGTTAACCTCTTCTCTTTCTCCTTCTTCTGATGACATGGACTTGGTGAAGTGCCAGTTCCATGAGGTTCTGCTGATGTTGGAGAACCGCGATTGCAGCCTGTCGGAATCCTCCATCTTCTGAGGTTGTTCTTCTAGACACGATCAGCAGGAACCTCTGTCATCACCCATGAGGGTCGGAGGAGAAGTGATGATGAGGAGGTGGGGGCGGGACCCGTTTATATACCCCATGGCTACACGCTGTGTACACGCTAGGAACACGCTAGAAGACCGCTGGGCGCGCTAGAAACTCGTTCAGCACTCGTTCAGCACGCCCATATTCGCTGCATGTTCGCTGGACATGCGTTAGAAGCATGCTAGGTGTGCGCTAGGTGCGCGCTAGGTGTTCGCTACACCTCAGCCGACGAAAATACAACGAATACCCAGCGTGTGCTCCGCGTGGGTCTGGCGTTGGTCCAGCGCGCTCTGCGCGTGTCTGGCATCCTTCTGGCGTGTAAATTCATGCGTCGAGCTCCGCGCACAATTTTCTGCATGCACAAAAATCCCGACGCCCACAGCGAATGACAACGAATGCATAGCGTTGGTCTAGCGCGCTCGACAAACGAGTAACGAATGCTGACGCACACCCAGCGAAAGACAATTACCATTATTGGTTATTTTTATACACAAGTTCGTATATATATTTGTTGTCTCTTGTAGACTCTTCTTGTGAATGCCAGAGGCAGACTACGCAAATGGCACATATTACACTCAACAGAACCCAGTGATGTGAGTTGTTATCAGCATCTAATTGACTTTTATGTGATATATTATTACATATAGTGTGTGCGTGTGCGTGCGCGACCGCGACCGCGAGCGCGTGTGTGTGCTTGCCTGCGTGTGCTCGCGTCTCGTTTGTGTATAGTATTGACCAGGGTGTAATTCTTTGTTTATTATGATATGTAAATATTGAATTTAGCACGTATATATACGTCTACGGCACCACATCAGTGACAGAACTTTTGCATTTTCTCGACCTTTTTAGCGGTACGGACTAGTACAGTCGTGTCTACACGCGTCAGTAAACGAACTCATCTACCACTACCTACAGCATCCACTGCCGCTAAAGACAGAGGAGGTCTACCTCCACACTCCTTACAGACTCTGCAAGACCGACGAAGCACAGTGCGACGATGTGTCTTAGGCTGACAGTCACACGGGAAGATCTCCTAGTCCGAAACTACTCAGGCCCGGACTAGTTTGATGCGGGATAAAAATTTGTACGGGGTAACAGATGCTCTAAAGGGGCTCGAAGATACACGAGGCCGTGCTGATACAAACAATCTGTTACCATGGCGATTATATGTAGAAGACAGTAGGATGGATCAGTGGGCGTACGGAGATTTACCATAGATGAGATAGCAAACTCGCATAGGGTGACTTAGTGGAGCAGCATATGCGTGAGTGAGTGAGTGAGTGAGTGAGTGAGTGAGTGAGTGAGTGAGTGAGTGAGTGAGTGAGTGAGTGAGTGTGTGAGTAAGTAAGTGAGTGAGTGAGTGAGTGAGTGAGTGAGTGAGTGAGTGAATGAGTGAGTGAGTGAGTGAGTGAGTGAGTGAGTGAGTGAGTGAGTGAGTGAGTGAGTGAGTGAGTGAGTGAGTGAGTGATGAGTGAGTGAGTGAGTGAGTGAGTGAGTGAGTGAGTGAGTGAGTGAGTGAGTGAGTGAGTGAGTGAGTGAGTGAGTGAGTGACCGAGTTAGTGAGTGAGTGAGTGAGCTAGAGATAGAGATAGAGATAGAGATAGAGATAAAGATCCTAGCCAAAGAACCTTCAGCCCCTGATATGTCGTATGTGTTGTTGTCTGTTGTGGTAGCTCAGCTAAACAGGTGATTAGACATTTGTTATGTTAGCTTCCGAATTCATTATGTATCTTTACATAACACGTTTACAACCTGCTATTTGGTCTTACTCTCAATAGGTTTGACAAGCCCTGTCTAACTCCATTACCTTATCGGAACGCGGGATATAGTAGACAGCATGATTATGTAGATGTTAAAATTCGAGCACGTGCACAAATTTCCGTTTTAAAACTAAACGTGAATTATGTGACCCTTTATAAAGCAGGCGATGGGAAATACCGTGTGCAAATAATGATGCCAGGGCTTTCTTTTTTGCGTACTGTTAGTTGCTACACATTTTTCTCGTGTTAAATGTTGGTATATGACTGATTTATACAATCAATGTAGTCTAGCGACGTAGATTATTACACCAATACCATGTGTTTAGACGGATAAAAATGGTAAAATATGTATTAGATAGTGTAATACTAGTACGATTGCTTATCATTATGTATTAGATATTTTAATAATCGTAAATTAATGAATTTTACATTAAGAAAATCGCATAAAGGTAGTCGTGGCTGAATTACTTGCAGTAGACGTGAAGGCAGTTGAGGAGTTACCAACTTTGGGCGACAATGCGCAGTGATTGCATGTACTTGCTGCACGAGCAATGTATCTATCTACATCATATCTGACCGCGGTGACGAAATAAAACATGCTAGCCCTATGGTTCCGAAATAGTTATTTCTTGCCACCAGGTGGCTCCACAATGCAGTTTCAGCTCTAAATCATATCGCGTCTCAAAATATTGTTTATTGTATGATATATTATAATTATGAGTACCGTTTACAATATTTTAAGGAAATTTAACCTTGTATTCAATTCGACGTTAATGGATTGTATATGATGTCAATTGTTAAATGAGCGACCGGATTCGCAACAATTTTAATCGGATCTTTATGTTGGTACTTGTGGGAAGCCTTCCTTTGCTGAGCCATGTTGAGCGAAGGGCTGAAGCCTACTGACGAAACAAAATACTCAATCCATCGGTTCGCATGAACATCTTGCTTATCCTCGAGGCAGGGGAGTGGTATATATATTGTTAGCAACTTCGCCCGCTTCCCCTCCCCTTCTCTCTCCTCACTTTCTCAGCCTGTCCTATCTCTCTCCCTCTCTTTGCATTTTTTCTTTTTCACAACACACACACACACAGCACACACACACACGACAACAGCACACACACGCATGGCACGCAACGGCAGAGATCACGCACTGCACACACGCACACACACGTGTATATAATATATATATATATATGCTCCTTCTCTCATTTTCCCTAGCCCAGCTGCTCTCATCACTCACGGACGCAACACGCCACAGTCTTCCCTCGTCGCTTCACCGCTGCCGGCTTATCGGCGCTAAGTCGGTCTGATCATTCTATCCATCCCCCCACGACCGTGGCTAAACAAGATCAATCGGGTATTGCTTAGTTGTCCTCTAATTTCTCTCTCATAATACCGTTATTGGCTATAAAGTACTGCCGTAAATTCGGCTAACGAGGCTCTCAATCGAAAATTAGAGGTCGACAATCAGTAGAAACAGGCGCTCACGGGAAAAACACAGAATCAGCCGCGCGAGGGAGTTCACTTTCTCGACACCCCCACCCGCTCCATCGTCTCTCTCTCTCTCGTCTGTCAGCATAGGGTAGTCTCTCTCTCTCGATTCTCTCACTCGGTCTCTCTCTCTCTGCTCTCTGGCCAGCTCGGTCTCATCTGTTCTGGCATCTTCTATTTGTTTCTCTAATAACTCTCCGCCCCTCTTCTCGTCTCCCTCTCTCAGGTCGCTCTCCGCCCTCTAGTATCTCATCTCTTTTTGCTTTATTTCTTCTCGTGATCCGCTTCTTGTCTTTCCCGTGTCTTCCTCCATTTTTCTTTCTTCCCGCTGCGTCTGCTCTCTACGCCACTCTCTGTTATGTTCTTCCTGCCATAATCTGGCCTTTCAGCTGTTTTCTTTCGCACGTCTCCACGCTTTCCCAATTTATCTATTTAATGCTAATGCTAATCTATCTATCTAATCTAATCTATCTATGGCTATGCTATTATCTATCATATCTATCTACTCTACCATACTATCTATATTATGCTATCATTATCTAATTTATTTATTATTTATTTAATTTATCTATTTCATGCTGATCTATCTATCCATGCTATCTATTATGCTATCTATCTATCTATCATAATGCGATCTATCTATTATCTATCTATCTATCTATCTATCTATGCTATCTATCTATTTATTTATCTATTTATTATCGTAGGCTTATCTATCTACCTATACTAATCTAGTGCTATGCTATCTTTCTTTCTTTTTCCTATCCGTCCCGTGCCGTCCGTCCAGACCCGTCCGTCCGTGCAGTCCGTCCGTCCGTCTGTCCGTCCGTCCGTTCCGTGCCGTCGTGCCGTCCGATCGCGTACCGGCCGGGCGTTCTGTCTGTCTATACTGGCCTGTACTATCTGTCTTTGCTATATCTCCTCCCCTCCCCGCTTCTGGCTCTCTGCTCCTGCTCTCCTCATCTCTCCTGCATCTCTCTATTTCTCTCTCTCAGTCCTTCTCATCTCGTCTCGTCTCTCTCTCTCTCTCTCTCCCTTACACCTCTGCCATCTCTCATCGCTCTATCTCGGTCCTGCTCTTCTCTCTCATCTGCTCTCTCATCTCATCTTCTCTCTCTCCTCCTACACCTCTGGCCTCTCTTCTGCTCTCTGCTCTCTCTCATGCTCTCCTCCCCTCTGTGCTGTCTGCTCCTTTCTCTCGTCTGTGAGAAATGTTTCTTCTCGAGAGGTTTAATTATTGTTGAAAACATAAAACTATAAAGTAAAGCGGCGGGTGACGAATGACGGTTATAATCTGCGGCAGCCGAAGATATTTCCCGAGGCCGCTTTTTCTTACGGCTAGAAGCGAATCAAGACCGACTAAATGCGAACGCGTGTTTGCGCGTGCCGTCCGGACCTTCAGAACTCCGACTAGGGCGCCGCTGTTTCCGTACATCACTCAGCGCTGGCGAGCAGGCTGCGAAGAGCTTCCCGCACTAGTCTCTAGCTAATTACGAACGCGTTACGAATAGATATGTGCGCGAGTAGCGTGCGCGCGTTGGTGGTGGAATGCCGGCTCGCGGTAAGGAAGCTTCGAACGCCAGCGACCG